CTCTTCTACGGCTGGACAGATTCTACCTAATCACCTCCCCGACTACTTCAAAAGAATCCCATTATTTCCGAAAGTGGAACTCCTATATTACAGGATCCCTATCTGTACAGGAGCACGCCTTTTTTACTTAGAAATCCAACCTTCTAACCCATCCAATGAAACCCCCCCACGAAGCTGACAGATTCGGAACTACTATGTAGCCGACTAGCTGACCGAAGTTTTAACTACTAAGTTGGTCATATATAAAATGATTTACTGTCACTGATCTTCTCCTCTTCTGCCATAACTCCCTTTTCTTCCTCACCTAAACTTCATCTTGACACTTTACTTATTTAATTACTCTTTTGACTTAGGCTTATATACAAGCTCAAAAGTGGGTAAGTGAGCGCAAACAGAACAAGTAAGCAGCTAACATACAGGGTAATCCTCAATACCTTGGAACATAAGCTATAAATGGGGTATGCAGCGCTAGAGAACAGATAATAACAGATAATAAACACGGGACTGTTTATGATATGAAGTACCAATACAGCAGTTCATATAATAGTTCATATATTCCAGCCTGAAAAGATGGAAATGATCCAATGATGTTCCAGATCACAAACGATGCAATAAGAGAAAATTAGTGAGGTTGTGCGCTTACCACAAGTACACACAATATGAGCATTGTATGTAATTAGCAGCAACCGGGCATCAAGGTCTGGTCAACCGTATCCTGGGCACCATCTGGCCATGTATGGACATCCGGGTCACAGGTACAACGATATCCAGGCCCCTTCTGGCTTTCAAATCCAAAACGCCACCTTGCATAAGCTCATTAAAAAACGAGCCGGGAGGCAAGAAAGCGCTAATAGTAAAGTACGTTTATTAAGAACATAAAATAAAAACCAAGCAGCCAGGACTCACATTGATAGAATATAAATCCAGGCCCACATCAATCAGCTCCCTGATGGTCAGTGGTACACTCAACATGCAGCGCATACAGATCAAAGTTCAATTGATAGAACCCTGGTGGTCAGTGGTATCACAAATACATAGCCATAGAGTATAATGAGTATTAACAGAAATATACTCATCCAGGTCAGGTGAGGTGGTACCCTGGTGGCTAGTGGATCTCTAGTATCAAAGGCGTCAACAGGGTGGATCCACCTCTATCAATGTGAGTCCTGGCTGCTTGGTTTTTATTTTATGTTCTTAATAAACGTACTTTACTATTAGCGCTTTCTTGCCTCCCGGCTCGTTTTTTAATGAGCTTATGCAAGGTGGCGTTTTGGATTTGAAAGCCAGAAGGGGCCTGGATATCGTTGTACCTGTGACCCGGATGTCCATACATGGCCAGATGGTGCCCAGGATACGGTTGACCAGACCTTGATGCCCGGTTGCTGCTAATTACATACAATGCTCATATTGTGTGTACTTGTGGTAAGCGCACAACCTCACTAATTTTCTCTTATTGCATCGTTTGTGATCTGGAACATCATTGGATCATTTCCATCTTTTCAGGCTGGAATATATGAACTATTATATGAACTGCTGTATTGGTACTTCATATCATAAACAGTCCCGTGTTTATTATCTGTTATTATCTGTTCTCTAGCGCTGCATACCCCATTTATAGCTTATATACAAGCTCGACATTATCACCTCAACACAGACTCACATCAGGCATTTGGAGGGTGGCACTGTCTCCACATTACGCATGGTGGAACCCATAGTTATTGGCTGGTGATTACTACTTGCTGGTCACCAGTTACTCACTACTACTCACGGATTTTCCTCTCCCTGTTATGCTTCCCCCTCAGTCTTTCATCTCTCTCCAGTCTACCTTGGCCCCCCGGGTAAATTTCTTTCTTTCTACTTCTTTATGTTCCTTGAATCCAGCTGCCACACCATCTTATTAACATTCTCCAACATTCTCCTCAACGCTGATTACCAAATCTGTTCACGCTCTCCCCCCTCTCCTATTTTCTCTTTTCCTACTTTACTTCCCCTTTATCATCTTCCCCTACTCCCAACCCCCAAACTCCTTGACAATTCTCCCCTCTTTCTCTTCTTTTGGACATATTATTGGTGGGCATCAGATGACATATACGTGCACCTTACTATTCCACATCATTTACTGACAATCCACAACATTAAAACAAACCTGGATTACATAATTCTCACTAGCTATTACTTTTACCCTATCTACACACAAACTTCTTATCTACCACTTTTTCATACTACTTTTTTCGCTAACCAACCCAACCTCGATACCTTAGTATTGTATCAATGCCTTTTTCTAATTGCTGCCATCACACTAAGGTCATTTTATTTTTATTTACCGTGCCATTATATCTTTGATTAGAAACATTGCATCATTGAGTCATAACTGTCTCACCATTTTACTATTGTTTTAACACGTTAAAACCCAATAAATATTCTTTAAAAAAAAAAAAGCATCCTTTACAAATGTCTCTATATGTGCATATTCAAAACTTCGTATGTGACCAGAACAAACCACTCCAAAAAGCCCTTCCCACACACCCTTTGGTTTGTCAAAGTGGACAACAGGCTGAAACATGAGAATACTCTGTGCTATTGCCTTGTATCTGTTGTAGCTGAGAGGTAAAAAAAAAATAAATGAGGTCTCAGATCAGAGTCGCTGAAAGAGGACATGTCTGCAGTAGCCTGTCATGCATACAGGGGCATCAAACATATACAGTATTTCCTCATGTCCAAGGCTGTATTTAACATGCAGGGCTCCTGTGCTGTCATCTAACAGAAAGCTGGAAGAAGCAGCAGGACCCAAGGGCACACTGGCAATTCTACTTCAAGACAAGGACTTCAACTCAACCTAGAGGGTTGGCTTAAACCATGGGTGCTCAAGTTGTGGCCCTCCAGCTGTTGCAGAACTACAAGTCTTATGATGCATTGCAAGGCTGACAGTTACAAGAGTGACTCTGAGATAGCTGGAGGGCCACAGGTTGAGCACCCATGGCTTAAACTTCATAGCCTGAAACTCCTACAACATAACTTATAATTTTTTCATAGAAAAGGGAAAGATCAGTATCCAGTTGTATAGAAATGTTTAGAAAAAGTAAGAATTGCAGGTTATTGTACTGCAGCCATACAAGACCTAAGTGTCAATAGCAATGTTTAACCTCCCTAGCGGTATGATTATGTCCATATTTCTGTGCTCAAAGCAGTACATTTTTTTGCATGGAAATATGTATTTTTTTATTGTATGCCTGTAATTTTTAGGAATAACTCACTGAAATCTGTGTCCGAACAAGAGTCTAGTAAACATCCCTTGTTACAATTTGAAACATGAAATCATAAATTATAATTTAATAAATAATCATAAAAAATAATATAATAATAAATGTAATTCAATATTATAATCAAACCAAAAACACTGTAATTTGAAATATAGCGCCAAGTTCGCACATCACTGAGCAAAGTCGCAAAATCGTTTTCAGTGTCTGATGACGAATTTCCCCACGAATCATTATCACTCAATTCTGCAAGTGGTTCTAATTTACTATCGCTGTTCTCTAGCTGGTCCAAAACCGTTTTTGACATAAAAGGACGCTTTTTGGACGCCATGGACATTTCTCAGTTTCCAGGCAGAAAGAACAGTAAAAATGCAGGCAGGGCACAGGACAAAGAACTAGGGACAAAATGTATATGAAATGGTTTGATACAGTAATGTTTTACTATGCGATTTTAGTGTATTTAGTGAATGTCACTTTTTGTAATTTTCAAATTTGCCACCAGTTCCATCCCCTGTACGTCCCGACGCTCGCAGGGGACGGAACCCAGATGACAGATGCCGGCATCTGCCGGAGGACATTGCCTGGGGCACTGCAAGAGGGACATCGTGGGAGCGCAGGACAAGCTAAGTGAAGAACAGATCCTGGAGCGGCGCCGCATGGTAAGCCCAAGTGTAGCGCGGGGTTACCGCTTTTGGTACTGAAACTTTACCCCGAGCTACACTCGGGTATACCACCAGGGAGGTTAAAGGGTTTCTGCAATCCTAGTGTCCATATTCACATAGCTGACAGATGTAAAGAAATCTGCCAATTGGCAAACTTTTTATTTTGTCAAATGGTTTACTTTTTATCACAAAACACTGTGGAAGGTATTTCAGGACTTCACCTATTGATGACAGACATGGCATTCTATTATATTAAAGACAGATAAAGAAAAGGAATTAAAGATAAACAATACACTGTGCATGTGGTTCTCATCGAATACTGCCTCTAATGTAATTCTAGACATACACACAGCTACACAGAGTTTTGTTCATCTGGCTATGTATATGACAATGCACAACATTTAGCAATGATCCGCAGCACGCATACTGCACCACAGAAGAAGTGAAAGGCCATGTACTGACACACAAAAAGCACTCACAATCTAGCATGTTCTATGACACAAAATATACACATATCATATATACGTTACAATTTATATATATTATCTTTGCTTTAAATTGCTACAGTCACATTAAAATTGCAGCTCCCCTGCTTTCTTTTTCTCCATATAGCAATTTGTTCCTTTTTTCTAATTGCATGTTATCACTTTTCAACAACTATCCTCTGCAAATTAGGTCTATCAGGGTGATGTTTCTGTAATTTTATTGTACACATAAAATCTAAAATATGCTTTTCAGGCCAATAAAAAGGAACTGCCTGTTTGTTCACAAAAGGTTTGCTTGGAAACTAAGGAGGTAATGAAAATTGTCTTTATAGAAAAAAAAAAAAAACAACTCAAATGAATCAGATTCAGAGGAAAGCTGCAATTTTAGGTCAGAAATTGCTAAGCAACAGGATTAATGAATGAAATGAAAGATTGCAGAAATGTCATGGATTACTCTGGGAACCCTCGCAAAGCCCACCAAGTGAATGGAAGAAAATGGTTAAATTGTATAATGGTTAAATTAAAATGATGATTAAGCTATATTGCCAAGTCTTCTTGTCTGATTGAGGGCATGCATAACGGACTTTGACTCTTACCACTTCCTCCACGGCAGGCTTGAAATAATATAAATCCAGATTTAATACAGGTTTAAAAGAGAAAGAAATACAGGTTAGCCATAAATATTACTTTAAAACTTCAGTCCCTCTATGAAGGTTCTTAAAAAAATTAAGAGAAAACACATCAAGGAATCTACTCTGAATGTTACCTTACTGTATTTAGAAAAAAAAAATAAAAGTTGTTACATATAGAACTTGATAAACCCTTGTCTACAATGGAAAACAAACAGTGTTTGAATTGGTATCTTACATTGATTAGCAAAGCACGTGTCACTTACTACGATTAAGAATAGAGACTCTATAATTGTCAAGGGACAACATACAGTACTGAAATTACACACCAACACAAGACCAAATGATCGCTGCTTCAGATGTGTACATAAGTAAATATAAAAGGATACTATTATGAACACTATACATTTGTAATAAATTGATTTTATAATGAATTAAAAAAAAAAAACATTTTAAAAAGGAACATTTTAAAGTAGAACTAAAGTCAAAACTTTTTATTCATTTTGCATAGAGTAATGGAGAGGTATAATCCTTGGCAGGTTTTTTTTTTTTTGCTTAATTTTTCTGTCCTAAAGCCACAACAGGAAGTAAAAGGAAATCTCTCTACAGTGGGGGATCTCTGGTTGTCACCAAAACTAGATAAAAAAATGGAAATGACGGGCAGGCGGTGGTTCTTTCGTTCTGGGAGGACGTCATATGACATCCTCCCACTCTAACTGCATGGAAGATCTTCACTCTCTATTCCTATTCTGGTAAAAAAACTGAAAATTTGGAATTTTCTTTCATTTTCGCTTGTTGATATTGGCCACCAGAACCAATAGAGAGGGTAAATCTCCTTAAAGGGGGCACAGGCTGCAATAAAAACTTGCCAGGTGTTCTAATCCCTCTCCATTCTAAGCAAATTATAAAATTTAAAAAAAAAAAAAGTATTACTTTTAAAATATACTTTAACCACTTGCCTACCGGGCACTTTCACCCCCTTCCTGCCCAGGCCAATTTTCAGCTGTCAGTGCTGTCACACTTTGAATGGCAACACTGTACTCATATGAAATTTTTATAATTTATTTTTTTTTAGACAGATAGTGCTTTCTTTTGGTGGTATTTAATCACCCCTGGGTTTTTTATTTTTTGCAAAACAAACCAAGAACAACTGAAAATTTTGAAAAATAAAAGTTTTTTCTTAGTTTCTGTTATAAAATTTTGTAAATACGTGATTTTTCTCCTTCACTGATGTGCGCTAATGAGGCTGCACTGATGGGCACTGATAGGCTACACTGAAAGGCAGTACTCATTAATGGCACTGATAGGCGGCACTGATAGGCAACACTGACTGGCACTGAAAGGCAGCTCAGATGGGCACTGATATGTGGCATTGATGTGCACTGGTAGGCACGGATATGTGGCACTGATGGGCACTGGCAGGTGGTATTGATGGACACCGACAAGTGGCACTGATGGGGCTACACTGATCATCAGTGCCCTGATGATCAGTGTACATTTCCCCTCTGAGGAATGCCGATTACCGGCTCTCCTCACGAGCTGTCAGCATGACAGCTCATGAGAAGAGGACTGCCGATAACCGGCATTTCCTTATTTACATGCAATCAGCTGTAATTGGACACAGCTGATCACATGACAGAGCCGACATCATCGGCTCTTTCCGCTGACCCGTGACCCGCTGTGTCCTAGGGAAACAGCGCACCACCAATCGACGCGCGGTTAGAGTGGGAGGATGTCATATGATGACGTCCTCCCAGAACAAAAGAACCCCTGCCAGCCAGCCGTCATTTCCTTATATGGCAGGCAGGAGGTGGTTAAGGGAAAAGGGAGTCAGTCAGGAGAGAAATGTTTAAGCTGCCAAGACTCCCATAGTTATTAACCATTAGCCGCCCGGCCAATGGCCGTTTGGCGGCTTCAAAAGTGTCTCTGCACTCCGGGTGCACGCCATTTGGCGTGCTCCCGCACATGTGCAGTTTGCGCTAATGCAGAGCGGCGCAGCAGTGCGATCTGTCACTGGCCGTGCACCTCGGACACGGCCAATGACAGATCCGAGTACCGGCTCCCGTTGCTGGTACCATGTGACCTGCTGTGACCAATCACAGCAGGTCACGACAGTTGTATACAATGGATGGCTTCATTCATGAAGCCATCCATTGTATACTAGTGCCTAGCTGTGAATGGTCACAGCTAATCACATGCACATGTCATGTGATTAGCTGTGACCAAATCACAGCTAAGCACAAAAAAAAAAAAAAAAAAAAAAAAAAAAAAAAACCCTGAATGAATCGATTTCATTCAGGTAAATGCTTGCTTATAGCAAAGTAATTCTTTGCTATAAGCAAATTGTGTAAAAAAAAAAAAAAAATACTGATCACTTCCCCAAAGTAGTACAATGTTACTTTGGTCATAGTAAAATATGAAAAAAAAATCTTAAAAAAAATAAAAAAAAATGTAATAAAAAATTAAATATAATATAAAAAAAAAATATATATATATATATATATATATATATATATATATATATATATATATATATATGTCACCAGTCAGTGTCCCTGTTCACCGCCATGCCAGTTATATGATGACGCTGTACTGCACTGGTGACAGTATGTAAAAAAAAAAAAAAAATAGTGAAAATAATTTTTTTAATTTTTTCATTTTCCTAAAAATTATGACAAAAACATACACCTTCAAAAAACTCGCCATGCCTGTTATGAAATATGTCAGACTGTCTACTCTGCAAAAAGGGGTCATTTGGGGATATCTGTACTGTTCTGACATTCTTGGACCTCAAGAAATTAGATTGGCTGTCAGTACTTCAGGATTGATCAATATTCAGATATATACCATAGTTTGTGAACTCTCTAACTTTCCTACAAACTAAATAATACATCCTAATTTGGGTTATTTTCACTAAAGACATGTAGCAGAATACATCTTGGCCTAAATTTATGAAGAACAATTATTTATTTGCAAACTTTTATAACAGAAACAAAGAAAAATGTGGTTTTTCTTAAAAATTTTTGGTCTTTTTTTGCTAATTTAGCAAAAAATAAAAACCCCAGTGTTGATTAAATACCACCAAAAGAAAGCTCTAGTTATGTGAAGAAAATGATAAAATTTTAGTTTGGGTACAATGTTGTATGACCACGCAATTGTCATTCAAAGTGTGAGCGCTGAAACCTGAAAAATGGCCTGGGCAGGAAGGGGGTGAAAGTGCCCTGTATGGAAGCGGTTAACCTAGGTATACACACACAGGGGATGATTTACTAAAACTGGAGTGTACAAAATCTGGTGCAGCTCTGCATAAAAACCAATCAGCTTACAGGGTTTTTTTTTTTGGCAAAACTTAATTGAACAAGCTGAAGTTAGAAGCTGATTGGCTACCATGCACAGCTGCACCAGATTTTGCACTCTCCTGATTTAACAAATCAACTCCATTATTTTCTTATGTTCAACTTGGTTCAACCTGGTTGAACGAAAAAAACAAAACAAACAACAGATCCCTGTATCAACACAACAATGTGTGAGGCAGGGATCTCTTCCATTCTGTCTTTGTATCCTGACAGGAGGACTCTCCCCCTTCCCCCTACTCAGAAGTCACAGATCAGCGCTTGCATCCATTGGCTGTGAGCACTGATTGTATGCAGGTTTCGTCAGAAGCCAGTTGTTAGACCAGCTTCTGTTTAACAGAGATCGGTATACATGTACCGAAAGCCGACCAGTTCCTGCTGAAACTACTGACTTTGTAAGTATTGTGTTTAACAAATAGCTGAAAAGTTCAATGGTGTAAGTGGAAACTTATCTGAGAAGCAGAACATGTTCATTGCTCAAGGAACCCCTAACAACCTCAGGAGGACCCTAGAGTTCCATAGAACCCTCGTTGAGAATCCCTGATCCAGAATGTACTATGCATACTGTTAGAGTATGTCACTGCATAATACCACATGCTTACACTGATTCTTTTCCATCAATCAAAATTATATAGCACTGTGTACATATGTATTTATATTTCCCTTGTTTGTAGTATAGCTGTGGTATCTAAAAGCTTACTGGCAACATAAAGAAAATCTACATAGAACATTTGAGGGACTGATATTTCAAAGCAATGTTGTTGTCGTCACACAGTACTAGGAACAGTATCTTTAAGCAATAAACTCCTTTGGTGGAAGTTGGCCTTGCAACACATTAGGAACTGATGCTCTGCAAGCTCCTCCAACAGCAAAGGAGTAAAGGACCAATATAATAAATGATTACCTCTTCGCCTTCTTCTGAGTGCATGGACAGCTGGTCGTGCTGAATAATTTCGGCATCTTCTTCTGTGGGCCCGTTACCAACGCGGATACCTCCAAAGTTATGCGTACCCTGGATTAGTGGGTGTGGGGAGGGGTATTTATAAATCAGGGTCAAGGCTCTCGGCCAATCAGCATGCTCTTTTTCCCCATCCCAAATGCAACCTCTCTTCACAACATAAAAATGTCATAAACCTCCCCCATTGAAGCAGTAATGGCTACAATTGGTTTAGATATAAAACTTTATCCATCTTTATAATGTAATACATATGATCCTATGTAATCAAAATGCTATAAAGAGAAACCCTGATTTATAATTTAATAGCGCCAACACTACCTGCCACATCTGAGATAAGAAGGGGGTCTGCCTATTCACACAGCTTAAGAGAAGTGTGTCTGAGTCTCTTATCCCAGAACATGGTGGTAGAATTAACCTTATTAATTTATAAAACACACCAGGAAAAGCTAACCCACCCTCTAGGAAAGAGAACATGCTGGAATACACAGACAGTTCAAGTAAAGTTCAGAGGAATTTAAAACAGCTGACAACTCTATTCCTTATAGTACAATGTTGGCTGCATATAAATGACATATACAGTGGCTAACAGAGGTCTCCCTGTCAGTGCCTTTATATTATATGAAACATTGCTTTCTACCGTGTTGGCCAACGGTCAAAAATATTTTGTTCTCATCAGAAGAATCTTATGAATAAGAATATATTTTGTGTGACACCTTTTAACAGCAAAAGGTAAAAAATTATCCCCACCAATCAAGTCTACAGGTTGCAATATACTGTGGCTAACACCTACATTCCCAAGAGAAAAAGGATCAGGCCATGCTGGATATTTCACCTAAATTCTCATCTGTATTCTCTTTCCTACCTCCTCCACAGTCATAATAATGGATGCATGCCAAACGGAGGTTGCATATTTATAAATTTAAAGCAGAACTAATGTTTTTTTTTATATATTTTTTTTAAACATGAAATTTCTACACATCCCTATTAAAGCGTGTCCAGGTTGGGCCAAATAAATTATATATTATATTCTGAACAAGCAATAAAAGCACTTTGAAATATTAATGCTTGTAGCTATAGGCATTGTGGAAAAAGACATCCTCAAAACTCTTTGTACAGTTGTGTCCAAAATTATTCAACCCCCACTGAAATTGAGTGTTTTGGCCAGTTTGACATTGCTTTTGATCATTCAGTCATCTTGCTTACATTTACATTAAAGAGGCACTTGTAGGTCAGACAAATATAAACATAACAGTTATAATGAAATAACCACAAATGTCTTTTCTGTGCTCACAGCATTATCAGTTTTATTCAACCCCCAAGTGACATTCAATCTTAGTACTTAGTACAGCATCCTTTTTACAGTTATAACAGCTTTTAAACGTGAAGCATAGCTTGACACAAGTGTCTTGCAGCGATCTACGGGTATCTTCGCCCATTCTTCATGGGCAAAGGCCTCCGTTCAGTCACATTCTTAGGCTTGCGCACTGCAACTGCTTTCTTTAAGTCCCACCAGAGGTTCTCAATCGGATTTAAGTCTGGTGACTGCGATGGCCACTCCAAAATGTTCCAGCCTTTCCTCTGCAACCATGCTCTAGTGGACTTGGAGGTATGCTTGGGATCATTGTCCTGTTGAAAGGTCCAACGTCTCCCAAGCCTCAGGTGTGTGACGGACTGCATCACGTTTCCATCCAATATCTCCTGGTACTGAAGAGAATTCATGGTACCTTGCACACGCTGAAGCTTCCCTGTACCTGCAGAAGCAAAACAGCCCCAAAGCATGATTGACCCTCCACCATGCTTCACAGTAGGCAAGGTGTTCTTTTCATCATAGGCCTTGTTCTTCCTCCTCCCAAACATAGCGTTGATCCATGGGCCCAAACAGTTCTAATTTTGTTTCATCAGTCCACAGAACACTATCCCACAATTTGTGGTTTGTCCACATGGCTTTTGGCATACTGCAGTCGACTCTTCTTATTCTTTGGAGACAGCAAGGGGGTACGCCTGGAGTTCTGGCACGGAGGCCTTCATTACGCAGTGTGCGTCTTATTGTCTGGGCTGAAACTTCTGTACCCACATCTGACAAATCTTTTCTCAGTTCCTCAGCAGTCACACGGGGACTTCTCTCCACTCTACGCTTCAGGTAGCGCACAGCAGTCGAAGTCAGCATCTTCTTTCTGCCACGACCAGGTAGCGTTTCAACAGTGCCCTTTGCCTTGAATTTGCGAATGATGCTTCCTAAGGTGTCTCTTGGTATGTTTAACATCTTTGCAATCTTCTTATAGCCATTGCCCTTCCTGTGAAGAGAAATCACCTCTTCTCTTGTCTTCCTGGACCATTCTCTTGCCTTCACCATGTTTGTAACCACACCAGTAAATGTCTAGAAGGAGCTGAGTATCACAGTCATTTTAAAGCTGCCTAATTGGTGTGCTTATTATGCTTGATTGATTGCTGCTCGGTGACATCCACAGGTGTTTTCAATACCTGATGGAAAGCACCTGTATGAACCTCTGTTCTTCAGAGTGGTAGTCTTTAAGGGGTTGAATAATTGTGGCAATGAAAGAAACCACATAAGAACCATTTACTACTGTATTACATAAACAATTGATGTCATTTTAGTTGCATTTGGTAGTTACAACGTCCTTGTAGGATTTGATTCTGAATACAATTCCAAATGTACACTATAGTCCCTAAACCCCTTTACAGCATTGGGGGTTGAATAATTTTGGACACAACTGTAACTTGGCTCTTTTTTGATTTCTTTATATCCATACTGCCAGCCCTCTAATGTAAACACACGATGCAACAGGAAGAAGGGTCAGCCGCACACTGGAGGATTGATGAATATAGTGTATATTTATTGATCTATTGGACACACAAAACACCAGGACATGAATATAGGACCTGATTAAGCACAAGATCGTGTGAAATGCATTAACAGGCCCTTTATTCATGTCCTGGTGTTTTGTGTGTCCTATGGATCAATAAATATACACTATATTCATCAATCGTCCGGTGTGCGGCTGACCCTTCTTCCTGTTGCATCGTGTGTAGTGGCGAGCCAGAGCCTGCACCTGTCGTGGATTGATCTGGATTGTTTGCCTGAGCAGTATACCTGTTCTAATGTAAACACACAGCAGATACTTCTAAGAGCCCAATCAGGTCCATCTGTCAGTTTTTCAGGCGGACCTGATTGGCTGGTCCATGCATTCCTAAGGACTTGTGTCCTCTTACATCCACCAACTTCTGGGTCTGATCAGGCCCACTAAATAAAAATGGAGGAAGACTGCATTCTCTTCCATTTGGGTGGACCAGATCAAGGGCAGCCAGGTGTAGGTGACCGGATCAAGGGCAGCCAGGTGTAAACAAACAGCGAAGTCCATTTACCCCCAGCCGCCCATAAAGCAGAACGGGGTCTATCTGTGTCTACTCTGCAAAAATTGAGTAGACACGAACCTGTCATCTGTCCCGCTCAGGTAGATCCCATGATTGTCGAAACAGAAGGTGCCCTAAGCTGCTAAAAAGTGACTTAAAAACTTGACTTTAGAGTTTTTGCTGTTATCTTTGAGGTTTACTGAGAATGAAATGCTTCCTGGTACAAGAAGCAAAAGAAGTCAAGAATGGTTAGTTTTAAGACATGTTTACTGTTGGTTCATGTCACTATGCACCTATATTTGCATAAGAACAGAAGTATACACTGTACATAACACCGTGGTTCCTTATTTTCTAATTGTTTGTTGATGGGAGCATTTTGTAATGAAAGTTATGACTGACTGATGATAGAGTCAGAGAGAGGGAGGATTAGGGAGGTGATGGATTGCCCAATTACAAGCCCAGTTCATGGCAAAAATTTAAAAAAAATATTCCTACAGAGGACTTCTTGTGCAGGAAAAATAATGTCAGTTCCCTCAAATGATACCACCATGTCTGCATATCAACTTGCCCTGTTATAGCTATAAAGCAGATGGTGATACCACAGGGTATATTCATATGCTGAAAATCTTGACACTCTGTTAATTTTACATTTTTGTCATGTTTTTTTCTGCTATTTGCTTAATCCTTTCATGATCAGAGGTCATTGATGCCTAGATACATTATTCATCCTAAATACATTAAAAAAGTGTCAGCATGCACTGATTAACTAGACAACAAATTTGAATACTAAATTTAAATTTTTTTTTTTTAGTATTTATATATCATGAAAGGAAATACAGTATGTTGCATTTGGTATATTATAAAACATGCTCACTTATGTATTATATGTGAAAAACCTGCAAAAATTAAAGTTTTTTCCTACACTAATCTTATTCTGAATTATTTACAGCGATCACATGATTGGGAGCTCTTGGATTCCAGATCATCAGCCTACCAGCACTTAATTTCTTTACAGCTAATAAGAAATTAAAACTGGTTGGATTGGACACTGCAATTCATATTCAGTATCTCATATTTATCTGACTCTAAAATTATATATTTTTAACTCCTGTTCATAAGGGAAAAAAAAAAAAAAAAAAATCACCATGCATTCCTTTTAATTAACACAAAAAATATATTGGACACTTTATTTACTCGATTCATCCTAAATACATTAAAAAATTGCCACTGAACACAGGCGAGAGACCAACTCTGATTTCCTGAAGGAGAGGTTGTTCCATCAGGGTGACTATGCAGCAACAGTTACTTGAAGTTCACAAAGTAACTTGAAGCTAACACACAAACAGAAAACAGAGAATTTTTTAAAGGTTTCTGATATCAGCTCTATTATCTATCAATTTGTTTCTCTTGTTGCTTACAAAATATATTTTCTTTATCGTACATCATGGAACACAGAGCATGCTATTCATGACTATGTGGGTTATAGGCCACCTATAGGTCAATGGACACTGGCTGACCAATCACAGAGGAGGTAGTCCCCTATATAATCCCTCCTATACAGGAAGTACCTCCGTTTTTTCACCAGTGTCTGTAAGGTGGTTGGTCACTGAAACTGTTCTTGTGCTCTTAGAGCATACCTGAAAGTCCAGAATGGTTCCATTAGAGAATCAGGGATTTTTGGA